TAAAAAAAAACAAAGGGATTGAGATGTGTTATGTACACATGCTGACTCCCTAACAGGAGGTGTGATCATTACACACTGCAAACGTGTGGCAACAAAAATAAAAGCCTAGAGAAATTACTGTAGAGAGGGAATAAGCCTCTTTCAGAATAGCTCTGTGCTATGCATTGAGAGATCCTGAAGTCTTCTAAAAGCTCAATCTCTCCATCTGGAAACGCATATAATTTTCTCTGGCTTAGGCCACTGGTCACCACCCGTCTCCTTCCCCGTTTCCTGCCCACCAGACCCCAGCCTCAAGCCCAGAGCTCGGGGGAGGACGGGGACTGCTCCTGCTCTGCGGGTCCTGCCTCAGAGGGGTTCACTTAGTCTCTGTTGGCTGTGGTGGTGGAAACGCTTTGGAGAGTGTTTGATCTCATCACTTTAGTGTGGATGGCAGCCAGCAAACACCCGGCCCCTTTAATAGCTAGGTAAAAGTGCCTTGAGGTTTCATCTCTGAGGGTTGGCAAGTCCAGAGCTCTCAAAGATTCCTCCTAATCCCACAGGGGTAAAGAAATTAGGCCTGGTCTCTCGAGCTGTGTCTCTGGAGCTCTGGTTTCTCTTCCCTGCCTTCCCACACTCTGCTTCCTCTTTATTTCAAACTGCAAGCATCCATTTAGCCCGCTCTTCTGATCAGCACTGAAGGCTTAACTGGCCACTCCTTAGGACGGAGTAGGACTTCGTAGACTGACAAGCACACATATTTGAAAGGGATCCGCAGACATCACCTAAAATGCCTGCAAGAGGCCTGCGAGCTTCGCTTGTCTGGTTTCCTGCTTTCCCGCCCTGTACAATTCACAGGCCGAGCTTCAGCAGCACTTGAAGCTCTTTTATAAATAAGGACACTGCCTGTGACCAAGGGCCAGGCAAACCTGTGCGTGTCATGGGGAGTGTGAGCTCAGGGCTGGCATCCAACCTTGTGCTCATAATCAGCAGGGGCCAGCAGCAGGAATGCCAATCACTGTACACCCCGGCTCCTGAGCAGTCTCTCTGTTCCACGTTCCTCCCCCGAGCTCCAGGGCTGTTCCTGCCCATTCCATACGTCTCCCTAGATATCCAGTGGGCACCTGTGAGCAGTTTTAAAAAGTGCTCCCAAGTTATTTGGCGTGACTCCCTTTGGGGAGCAGGGCTTAATTCCTGTCTTCTTGGCTAGAGGTTGAATTGGTGATTTCTTTTACTAACAGAATATTATGGCTGTGAACGCTGTATGACTTCTGAGTCCAGGTCACAGGAGGTGTTCACACTGGGGAAAACCAGCTGCCGGGAAGAAAGGGCGTTTGCTGAGGCCTCTCCCCAGACCCTGGTACTGAGAAGCTGGGGTCTCCGCTGAAAGCACTGTGGGTGTCCTGTGGGAAGTGGGCACCCTAGCCCCAGTGGAGACTCCAGATGATGCAGCCCCTGGATGGCTGGACTTCAGGTTCCCAAGAGACCCTCTGTCAGCCCTGCCTGGATAAACTGCTCCTGTCTCCCCAAACTTACAGAAACGGGGAGACAATAAATATTTGTTGTTTTAAGCTGCTGAGTTTGGGGGAAATTTATTATGCAGCATTAATTAACAAAGCATCTCCAGTGTGGCATGTCAAAGCTGCACTCCTGATTTTCATTCCGCAGACATCATCTGCTGTTTCCCTATTCAGAAAATAGCAAAAAAATCTCCTCCTCCCTCCCTCCCTTGCTCCTCCTCCTCTTCTTCTTCCTCTCCTCCTCCTTCTCAGGCTAAGTCTTCCTCAGAGCCTGCCTTCCTTTGACAATACATACCTAGGATAAGGGCAATTTAAAAAGGTGTCTAAAGCCTAATCGCGTCTTCGCTCCCCAGTCCATCCCTCCTGTGCCTGGGTGTTGGTGACAGCACCCAGCACTAAGAGTCAGCTCCAGGTACGATTGCCAGCAGGATCCTCTCCGCTATCAGCCAGACGATGTCACATTAATCACTCTGGCGGCTCTTGCTTGATCTGTAGAGGGCTCCTCCTCGCCCTTTCTTCCTTTAGGTCTTTCTCAAAGCAGCATCTTCTCGGTGAGGACTTGTCTGACCCCTAAGCGCTCCCTGCAGTGTGTCTTTCACTTGTTTCTTTCCTCTCTAGAATGGCAGCTCCTTAAAGGGGGAAAATCTGTTGTCTTCTTTCTCTCCTGTTGGGTTTTTAGCGCCTAGAATGATTCTTGACACATAGCAGCTTGTATTTGTCTTCTTTGTCAGGGGAGGTTGAAGCAGGGTCTCACTAGGCAGTATATGCTACCCTTGAACTCACTATGTAGCCCAGGCTGGTCTCGAACTCATTGTGATCCTCCTGCCTCAGCCTCCCGAGTTCTGGGATTACAGATGCATGCTACCATGCCTGGAAATATGGATTTGTTGAACAAACCCATTTTGGTCTTCCTAAGAGCTGTGTTGCTGTGGTAGGTGTCAGGACTGCTGGGAAGACGGTGATGCTTCGGAATGCTCAGAGAACCCAGTGTCGTCGCAGGTGCCCAGGCAGAGTCTGATGGAGAGGAAGCCTGTGGAATCTCTACTGCACTGCACTGCTGCTCTTTCAGCAAAATTTGTTATTTCTGCTTTAACAGAGGCAAGGAAAATAGCAAAATATATTGAAATTGATTTGCATTAAAAAAACTCTTGCATAGTTAGAGCAGTAAATTATAGACACAGGACTCAATATCGGCCATAAATTGAATATTTTAGAGTGAGTAGACTGTTCCTTTGGGATGAAGGTTTATTTCGTAAGCTTTTGTTCAGTACATCATGAGTCTTTTCAGTGAAACGACGTCCTTGCCTGACAGCCAGGCTGTCGCCGAAGAAGCCTTCGGTGAAGCCGGAGATTTTTACTGGGTGTGGTTAACTCAGAAACCGGTTCTCTGAACATACTTCATGCCCAAATAGCTGCTAAGGTCCCCAGCAGCCCTGGTTAATTTCAGAATACCCAAGAAAGCCTGTGTATGTGAGCGAACCTGGGACACACACACACACATACAAGCTCACACACAGGGGTGCGCGTTCTGGCTGTGCTGTAAGCTGCTAAATGGGGAAAAGTCACCGAGACAGGAAGCTCCGTGGTAGCAGGACTGAGGTCAGCAGTTCCTCAGCAGAAGAGGGCCTGGGAGGAAGAGGGGTTGGGGACAGAGGCGCATGACCCCGCCATTCAGATCCTCCCAAAGTTCCTCTTGGAAGTCATTCATTTCCCTAAGTTGGGCAGATTTGTCCAGCCCTCCGTCTGTCAAGAGTGCAGTGAACACAGGCAGCGAAGTCTGCTGGGCCAGGGGACGGCTTGGAGGCTGCCGAGCTCGGGCTGGTGGACTGGCAGGCGGAGCCCCGGGTGTCCAGGCAGTGCCCCTGTTTCCTTCTGCCCGGCAGGCCCGGCTGCACCTGCTGGCTTCCGTCCCGTTGCATCCTCTTGCTCCCCGGCCTGTTAGCCTTAGCCACGACCACCCCTAGCGCATCCTATGTAATAATGATCTGACCGATGCTTCCGGCCAACAGCCAATGAGAAACAAGGGTCATCTTTCCACTAACCAGTGAAGAGCGGGCCTTTCAGCCAATGAGGAAGAGAGGTTCTCTGTAAAATAGCCAATGAGGAAGAGAGGTTCTCAGTACAATAGCCAATGAGGAAGAGAGGCCCTTGGACCGACAGCCAATGAGGAATAGCAACAGATAACAACTGATCAGAGACACAACTGCCCAGAAGATATAATGGCACTAACATCAGAAAAAAGAGAAAGACAGCTGGGCAGAGCAGCACATCCCTGTCATCCCAGCAGTCTGGAGGCCGAGGCAGGAGGATCTTCATAAATTTGAGGCCAGCCTGCAATACATAGTGAGCTCAAAATCAATCTGATGGAGGAGTGGACTTACCTCTTAAAGGCCCTACTACTTAGTACTGTTACAACGCCAGTTTTGGAGGGGCAGACATCTCAACACAGCCATCCTCTCCGGGACAGCTGAGCTTGGTGACGGGGGTGACTGGCCTCCGTGGCTCTGAGCCCTTGGAATGGGGCCGCTCCCCAGGAAGGGCACTGCAGAAGGGCCCCACAAAGGGAAGGCAGGAGCCACGATCTGAAGACCAAGGACTAAACCCTGAAGAACTATTACAGATTTTAAATTTGGACTGGACACTGAAAAAATATCTTGGACATACTGAGTTAATGAATGTCACATTATCAAGTTCAGCTTCTTCTGTTTTCATTTCTTTAGATGTGGCAACTATGCGTGTGAATCCTGCATGCACTGGGCTTGCATTTGGCTTCCACTGGATGGGGCCAAGCTAGGAGCAGGGATGTTTTCTTTAGATTCATGGAGAATTCCTTCCTCTCCTGAAAGTTAAACAAAGCCCTGGGGCTCTAGAAAAATGCACTTTTGGTCTTGGCTGCATCGCGGTGAAAACAGACACTCTCTCCTCATAGCATCTTTACTCCAGAGCAGGCGGCCAGCACCCCAAGCCCTTGGAGGATTAACTGGGACACAGATGACCAGAGAAGATACAGACTCACAGCTGGGCCGAGGGGCGGGGCAGACAGCTGGACAGACAATGATTGCTTTTCAGATTAGTGCTGGGTGGGGGGCTGAGGTGTGTTTGTGCAAGGAACTCCACATCTTGCATGAGCAAATGTGTGTGTGTGTGTGTGCCCGCATTTGTGTGTGGATGGTGGTGAAAATAAAAAATCAGAGGTTCAGCTACACGGAGACCTGGAAGGCAGGCGTGGGGCCAGGGACCATGTTTCTGAGCTCTCAGCCTGAGCCCTGTCTCAGGTCATTCATTAATTCACTATTCATTCACTATTCCTGGTCGTGGCCTCCCCAGCGGGGCCTGTCCCTGCCTCCGTGGAGACGGCCACCGTGCCAGCCTCGGGTCGCAGCACCGGCCCTGCCGGCCTTTGGGGCTGGCTTGGTCCCCCTGCATGGATGTTCCCTGGCACGGCGGGCTGCTAGGCCACATCCTTGGCCGCTCCCTCCCATTCGACGCCAGCTGCAACACCTTTCATTCCCCACGACGACAACGAGGAGGAGGAGGAATGACGCTGGAGGCTGTCGGTGCCCTGTGGGGGCCGAATCGTCCAGGTGCAAACCAGGGCTGGAAGCAGATCGCCATCTACCCTGCCGTCCGTGGTGCTCCGTGCTGGGAAGGAACCACCAAGGAGGTTAAGGGTAGCGGGAGGGAAGGCGGCCCCACCACGGGGGACCCACACGAGCCAGTGCGGCACAAGCCGGTTGGGTCCTGGGGACAGTTTACAGGCAGCGGGCACAGCCAGCGCCAGGGCTCCTGGTGAGCCGTCGAGGGGTGGAGGTGAGCCCCGAGCCTGCAGGGCCAGAGGAGGGAAGTGGGGTGCTGGCTGGCTGGCTAGGAGTGGGGCAGCTCAAGGTGAGGGTCCCTGCACGTTTGCAGACGAGGCGGGTGTCGCAGTTGTCTGATCCTCTGCCTGGGGCCCGAGGGAGAGAAGCGGATGGCACTGAAGGGGGACAGGGGGTTCACACCGAGCTGCCGACCCCTCCCCGTGCCCGTCGCGTGGGGCGCTGGTGCACAGAGAAGCTGCTCCAGGGCAGAGGCCAGGCCGAAGGGTCAGAAGTCCGCGCTTGCACCTTGGTCCCGGGGGGTGGCCTTGCCGAGCCCCGCCGTGGGGACCCCGGGCCGGGGTGACCTGCTGCGGCCCGGGAGCCTGGAGACCCGGCGGCTTCCTTCCCCGGCCCGATGCTCCGCTTCCGGCTTCCGCCGGGCTCCGGCCGCTGGCGCCCCCTGCCGAGGGGGAGCGACGGCTTCGCGGCAGAAGGCACCGAGCAGAAGAGGCCTGGAGCGCTCGGCGCGCACTCACCGTCTACGCGGTAAAGCAGCCCGCGGGTGTGCACCCGTGCCAGAAAGCAGACAGAGGCCCCGGCGCTCTGACCAGAGGCGCTGACCCTGGGAGCCTTTGCGGCGGCTTTGTATTTTCTTCAAGGACCACATGGATTCTCCAGGCAAACTGGGGCCCGGAGGCTGCAGGCGGTCCTGACTGTGAGCAGATTCCACAGTGCTCCTGAGCTAAACGTGGATCACTAGCACCCAGGGCTCTAGTTAAAACACTGACCCCAGAGGGGCAGGGTGGTGCGGGGCTATAATCCTGCACGCTGGGGGCTGAGGCAGAGGGATGGCCCATTGGAGCCAACCTGAGCAACTGAGTGACTTAGTGAGATCTTGCCTCAAAGTTAAGGAAAAAAACACATTAAAAATAAAGGGGCTGAGGATGTAGCTCAGTTAAGGGTTCAATACCACGAGGGGGAAAAAAAATTGGTTCAGTTCAGTAGCTGGGGTAGCTTCGGTTCCAAGATCCTGCCTCTCTGACGAACTCCTAGGTGATGCAGAAGCCTTTGGTTGGGGGCCCACAGCTGGAATTGCACAAGTTTGGAGCTGCTTCTCAAAGTGTGGTCCTCGGTGTGGCCGCGGCACCCACAGCTTCAGGGCCAAACCCTTCCTGGGGCTCCTCCTCAGCCTCCCGAAGTTTGGGGTTGCAGTGAGAAGGCCTGGCTGAGGTGGGAGCCCTGGCTTCCCCACTGGAGGCCCCTCTCCCTCCTTCCTGGAGGCCGCCTGTCACCCGGCCTGGCAGCGCTGGGTTCAGCCAAGACAGGAGGTTTCTCTTCCTATTGAGAGGGTGACAGGCCTCCCTTCACGGTGTGATTGGCAGCTCCCTAATCAGCAGGAGGAGAATGGGAAGCCTTTAGAATGATGTTTGCTCTGTAAATATTTGACATTATCTACCCTGAAAACCTAAAAGAGAGCTTCATTTTTCTTTCTTTTTCGGGGAACACTGCGAGTCACAGAACACCCATAAGTATAATTAGTCTGACAAGGGAGCTTCCCATCCGGGCTGGGGACTTGGCATGTGGGAGCGATCTCGATCTCGGGCCTTTGTCTCAGCCTTTGCCAGGGAGCGGGGCAGCTTTCCGGGCGACACCTACACACAGCCACCTGGCACAGGGCAGGTGCTCCCCGCAGCCCTGGGCTGGGGCTGGAGAAGAAAGGCTTCCAGGCTGCTGGGCACATGAGAGGTGTGGCCTTCCTGCTTCTAACCTGAACCTCTTGTGAGGAGACAGTGCTCAGGGCTTTGAGGGTGTGGGTGTTGGCCCGGGACAGATTGAGGTTTACATTTCTCCTCTGTAAATTACCAGTGGTGTAACTTTAGGTGGGTTACTGGGTCCAGAGGATAATGGGGCCACCTCCTGTCACAGGGCCTCGGAAATCAGTTTTTTTTTTTTTTTAATTGCCCTCTTAGCAGGGCATAGTGGTGCACACCTGTAATTCCAGCACATGGGAGGCTGAGGCAGGAGGATCATTGCTAGTTGGAGACCACCCTGGGCTACAAAATGAGCTCAAGGCTAACCTGAACTCCATGGTGAAACCTTGTCTCAAAAAGAAAAAAGAAAAAAGAAAGAAAACCCCTTCAGGAGCTTTTTCACGCCCCACCCCCAATCCCACAAAGCAATTTCATTGCAACCCGTGCACTGTAAGGGTCAAGCGTTTCCAGAACCTATCTGCGCCTGCCCCAGGTGGAGCTCGCCTGTTTTAGGGAGGGCCGAATAAGACGGATCCTCCCGAGAACCGAGTTGGTGCTCATTGCCGTTTTCCTGCAGATATAACACAGCTGGGGTGCTGCACAGCTCATGTCCTCCGCGCTTCCTGGCCGGTCCAGCCCTGCGGCTGGCGGCTGGCGTGGGTGGGACGGGCTCAGGCAGCACCAGCGACCCCAGGTGTGAGGGGGAGGTCCAGGGTTTGGCCCAGGGTGGGAGACGTCCGGATGGGGGCAGAGTGGGCCGGGAGCAGCTGTCGGCGGTCCCTGGGATCCGGAGGACTGCAGTTTGGCTGGCTGTGGAATGTGCTAGAATGCTGACAGCCAGCAGGGTCTCGGGCAGCCAGGACCTTTGCATCGCCTCTGTTGGGTCACAGGGAGGCCTTAGAAGTCGTGGTTCCAGCATGAAGGTAGCCAGGAAGGCTGGGGGACCACGGCGCTCACCCTTCTGCCCTGGAACATCCTGGTCCTCATTTTCCTGGGAACCCGAAGGGCCTGCTGTGGAGCCTGGGAAGCAGCTGGGGAGGAGCCCAGGTGATTGGGCTGGGGAGGGGAGGAGACGCCAGGTCACAGTGCTTGCGGAAAGATGGCTCAGCCTCCTCTTTTGCTTCCCATAGTTAGACCCTGTCTTAACCACAAAAAGGGCCTGGGTTTAGCCCCCAGTGCTGAAGAATGAACAAAATATAGTGTTGCCCGGGTCGGGGAGTGCATGACTGCAATCCCAGTACTTGGGAGGCCGAGGCAGGAGGATCACACTGGAAGTTCACGGCCAGCCTGGGCTACATACACAGTGAGTTCAAGGCCAGCCTGAAGAACATAGCGAGACCCTATGTCAGAAATCACAGATAACATTTGGCGTGTGATTATTGCCATTATAAATGCTAGGTGCTAATTTTAGCGCAAGTAGGGAAAGTAGGCAAAATTGATTATGATCCTGCAAATAAATTAGAGCACAGAGGTCATTAGCACAGAGGTCATTGGACCCAGGCCTGGAGGGACTTCCACTACTTTAGGGGCAGTGCTGAGGCACCCCCAGAACACTGTCTCTCCCACTCACCCCCAAAACTGTTACTGCGGCCACTTCATTTTAATGGTTTCATTTTGTTTTGGTTTTTATTCTTTTGAGACACGGCCTGGCTATGCACTTCAGGCGGCCAGAACTCACTATGTAGCCCAGGCTGACCCAACTCACAGTGGGCTTCCTGCCTCAGCCTCCCAAGTGCTGGGATTAAAGGCGTGGCTCATTCTGATGATTTCTTAAGGAATCGCTGACCTCTTTCACACATTGTGTTCATGCTACCGTGAGACTGTTTCCCGAAAAGTAGACTCATTCTCAAAAACGTGGACAATACACTGTAAAAACATGGTGATACAAAAAACACAGCAGAAAGGCAGCCCCGTGGAGAGGCTCGCTGCCCTTCTCTGTGTTTTTGTGGCTGGTGTTAGTTTTTGTTCAACCTGGGCTTTGCTTCCTTCATGGCAAGGGTCATGCTCTGTCTTAGGGATTCCCAGAGTGTAGCCCGCGGCCCCGCGTTCAGTAGGTACACAGTAGTTCCTGAGCAAAATTGAGGATGTGACACAAAAAAGTTAAAATTTGATGTTGAGAATTATGAAGATGATATATGCTTATCATAAAATATTTTGCAAGCTCAGAAAATGAATATAAGGCCCGGTGTGGTAGTGCAAACCTGTAATCCCAGCACTTAGGAGGCTGAGGCAGGAGGATTGCTGTGAGTTTGACACCAGCCTGGGCTCTGTTATAGAGTTGGAAGGCAGGCTGAACTGCCTCAAAAAACAAACAAACAAACCACAATGACAAAAACACAACCAAAAAACCATGTAGTAGAATATGAAAATAAATGTGATTCATGATTTCACCACCGGTAGGTCTCACTGTCTGTGTGGTCGCGGGCGCGGTCACCCTGTGTACAGCGCACGTCTCCAGGTGACTCCTGCTACCCAGGGCGACACTGGCCTCCTGAGCACTCCTCACTGTGTGGCCTAGGCAGGCGACAACAAAGCGCTGTGTGTACCCGGCACAGACGCAGCCTCTCTACCGAGCATTTTCCGTGTGGTCAGTGGGATCAGAGGCGGCAGAGCCCATGGCGTGGAGGCTTCCCTGAGTTCCTTTCTTGTCCTCTTGTTTTTTAATAAACATAGGTGACTATTTTTTACATAGATGAATTATTCCCATTTTTAAACAAAGGAAATTTAGGTGCAAGAGTTAAGTAATTTAGGTGCTGACTTCATAAGCACGGAATTGTGTGTGTGTGTGTGTGTGTGTCTGTCTTTTTGAGACAGGATCTCACTTATGCAGTGCAGGCTGGCCTCATTTTATAGCACAGGCTGGTCTCGAACTTGCAGCTATCTTCCTGCCTCAGCCTCCTGAATGCTGGGATTACAGGTGGGCGTCACCAATCCTGGTTAAGCATGGACATTTTTGTGCCTGTGTATTACTCCGTTGCGTAGGCGTACCACAATTTCTTCAATCCATTGCCTATTTTAGAACATTAGCATCTTCCTGGTTTCCCACAGTTCTAACCAAGGTTATGAGGAAACCCTCACAGAATGAATCTCAGTGCACACCTTCAATTCTTTTTAAAAAATTCTTTTAAAAAGAGCAATTAACAAAAGGCATCCCTGATAAATACTATTTAGTCACTTTCTAGAAAGTTCTAATCCACCTTTGCTGCCAGTGGAAGCAATGTCTGTGGTGAGCCTTCTGCAGTTTCTCCCCTAATGGCCACATTTTGTTTTATTTTTGTAAGTGAAAAATGATTTCTTCTGGTTTTATATGTGCATCTTTGGTTATTCCTGCACTTGGCAATTTCTTAAATGTTTACTCACCATTTTACTATATTTGTGTGCTGTTGTATCATGAATTTTGCTAGAATTTTTCTATTTGGGTATTTATTCATTTTTCTTGGAGATACATAACACTGTTTATATGATTAGTTATACCAGCCACCATGAATCATATATTAGCACAAATAATTTCCTGCTATTCGTGACTTTTCACTGTACTTAGTGTTTTCTGTTTATTTATTTTTGACTTTTGGAGTTTTAGTTTCTATTGTTTCTTCTTTTGCATTTAAAGCAAAGGTGATTTAAACCTGGGAATTCAGAGCGTCGGGGATGACTTCCTCCCGAACACTGGCCATCTGCTCGTTTTTCCTCCGGTTATGACTTTGGTTTTACATTTAATTCATTAATTCACTGAAAGCATATTGTATTGCATAATATGGACACTTGATTTTTTGGATTTTCTCCAAAAATGTAAAATTCTACGTTTATAGTGTGCTAGCATCTTATTTAACCCAAGGCCAGCTCGTTTTTTGTTTTGTTTTGTTTTGTTTTACACTGTAGTCTGATCACTCTTGAGCCAGTGCAGCAGGAAGAGCCATGGTAGCTTTATGGTCTGTTTCTGAACGGACAGGGACGTGCCCTCAGCATAATGCTGCTGCTGCTTTATCTCTCTGAAGCCTGCATGTCTACTTCTGAAAAGGCCGTGTGGATGTTCAGTGGACACCTCAGCCCCACTATCTGTCTGCGGTGCTGTTTGTTCATCTTGCTGTACATTTGCAACAGGAAGCACACAGACTGGATGCCTTCTGCACTTGTTTGGAACCCCCCCCCCCCCACTTTGTCCTTCCTGACCCTTCCTGCTCCGGAGTCTTCCCCGCCCATCCCTGGCCTCCCCTGGCAGATTTAGGCTGCGAGTGGGCCGGGAAGTGTAGCACATTTCAGAGGCTGTGAACAGATCTGTAATATCGTTTATTCATTCATCAAATCTTCACCGGACACCTGCCGCAGGACAGATGTTACACTTCTTATGGTGCATGCAAACTAGACTTTGGTTTCTGTCCTGAGCACGCCTGAATGACCCAAATGACACAAAAACCCCATGATTGGGGGCTCAGGGGTTATTAACAGCTGCTATATTTCTGGCTTCAGGCACCTGTCACTCTGCTCTTCGTGTATTTTTGTGGCTGCCGAACCTTTGGACAGGTAGGAAGTGTGGAGAATTAAAGAGTTCTCATCCCATCCACAATGACTAAGCCGGAAGTGTGTGAATACCCCAGCTCCCTCGTCCCTCAAGGGGGTAACTGGGGAAGGTCCCAGGGAGAGTTAGCCCCATTGCCGAGGGTGGAAGTTGATCTTGTGGACTCTGTGTGCGTAGTTACCCTTCCTGTCTCCCTCCTCTGTTTGTCAGCTTCCCCTCACTATTAAGGAAATACCTGAGATCAGTGACTTATAAAGAGAAAGTATTTATTTGAGCACTGCAGTCTCCGGTAGGCAGGACATAGTGTTTTAGGCCTGTGGTGAGCAGAATATCACGATACCTGTGTGCATGTGGTGGTGTGACGAAGCCACTTCATGGCCAGAAGCAAAAAGGAGAGAGAAAGAGACTCAGTCCCACAGCCCCCAGGAAGGTGTTCTCAGTGACCTAAAGGCCTCCCATTGACCAATGACCTAAAGACCTCCCACTGACTAGTGACATAAAGACCTCCCATAGACCAATGACCTGAGGCCTCCCATTAACCGATGACCTAAGATCTTCCATTGACCAATGACCTAAGGACCTCCCATTTACCGATGACCTAAAGACCTCCCAGTGACCGATAATCTGAAGAGCTCCCATTGACCTATGACCTAAAGGCCTCCCATTGATGAGTGGCCTAAAGGCCTCCCATAGACCAATGACCTTAGGGACCCCATTGAACGATGACCTAAGGGCCTCCTATTGACTGATGACCTAATGAAATCCCATTGACCAATGACCTAAAGTCCTTGCATTGACCAATGACCTAAAGACCTCCCATTGACTGATGATCTAAAGGCCTCCCATTGACTGATGACCTAAAGAATTCCCATTGACCAGTGACCTAAAGGCCTCCCATTGACCCGTGAGCTAAAGAATTGCCATTGACCAATGACCTAAAGGCCTCCCATTGATCAATGACCTAAAGACCTTCCATAAACCAATGACCTAAGGGCCTCCCATTGACTGATGACCTGAAGAGCTCCTATTGACCTATGACCTAAAGGCCTCCCATTGATGAGTGGCCTAAAGGCCTCCCATAGACCAATGACCTTAGGGACCCCATTGAACCTGAGGGCCTCCTATTGACTGATGACCTAAAGAAATCCCATTGACCAATGACCTAAAGTCCTTGCATTGACCAATGACCTAAAGACCTCCCATTGACTGATGATCTAAAGGCCTCCCATTGACTGATGACCTAAAGAATTCCCATTGACCAGTGACCTAAAGGCCTCTCATCAACCCATGACCTAAAGGCCTCCCATTGACCCATGACCTAAAGAATTGCCATTGACCAATGACTTAAAGGCCTCCCATTGATCAATGACCTAAAGACCTCCCATAAACCAATGACCTAAGGGCCTCCCATTGACTGATGACCTAAAGACCTCCCTTTTGACGATGACCTAAGTGCCTCCCATTGATCTATGACCTAATGGACTCCCATTGACCGATCACCTAAAGGCCTCCCATTGACCGATAACATAAAGGCCTCACATAGACCAATAACCTAAAGGCCTGCCATTGACCAATGACCTAAGGGTCTCCCAGAGACCAGTGACCTAAAGACCTCCCATTGACGAATGACCTGAAGGCCTCCCATAGACCAGTGACCTAAGGGCCTCCATTGACCGATGACCTAAAGGCCTCCCATTGACCAGTGACCTAACAACCTCTCATAGACCAATGACCTAATGATCTTCCATTGACCAATGACTTAAAGGCCTCCCATTGACCAATGGCCTAAAGACCTCCCAGTGACCAATGACTTAAAGGACCTCCCATTGACCAAGGACCTAAAAAGCTCTCCCATTGACCAGTGACCTTAAGACCTCCCATTGACCATTAACCTGAGATCTTCCCTTGACGAGTGACCTAAGACCTCCCCAAAGACTTTAAAGACTTCAGCACCTCCCAAAGTTCCCCCTGGGCACCAAGCCTAGGCACAAGGGTCTTTATGGGACACTCAAGATCCAAACCATAGTGGCCTTCTAGTCCTCTCTCAGGATTTCCTAGATTCTTCTTACGTGAATCTCATGGCTTGTTTCACAGGAAATCGGTCCAAGACAAATGGAAATCCTGGTGTTGGAGGACTTGGATCTATGACCGGCAAACTCTAGGTTGTGACCCAAATCCGGTTCACTGTTTGTTTTTATAAATAAAGTTTTATAGGAACACACACAATCCATTACTTTAATATCATCTAAGGCTGCTTTGGCTTTACAGTGGCAGAGTTGGGTTGCTTGGTCAGAAACTGATTGGCTTACACAGATGAACAAGACCCTTGGTTTTGAGGAAAATGACAGAGTCTGATTTGCCTCCTTCAGTGGTCACCCCAGCTACTGTATGGAGAGGTGATTAGTGATGGGAGGGCTTGCAGGTGACAGATGGGGGACCAGGTCAGCCCCTGTGGAAGTCTAGGAGAGATAAGGTGAAAAGACTGAAGTTGTTATGTGATGGTTAATCTTGATTGCCAACTTGATTGCATGGAGAAATGCCCAAGAAATTAATAGAATACACTTCTGGGTGTGTCTACGATGATGGACATGTGTGAAAGCCAATGGAGTGGGTCGACCTGTCCTGAAGGTTGAAAGCACCATCCAATTAGCAGGGTCTTGGGTGGAACCAAAGGGGAAGGAGGAGGAAGCCACCAGCACAGGCAGTCTTTCTGCTCCCTCAGGGTCTCTCTGCACGACGACATTTCTACCTCATCACAGACCTCAGAGCAACAGAGCCAGCTGACTATGGCCTGAACTCTCTGAATCCAGCCCATGAACCTTTCCTCCTTCAGTTTCTACTCCCGGGCATTTTGTAACAGTGTCAGAAAGCAGATGAACACAGGCATCATGAAGGTAGGAACAACAGGAGCTGTGGGTGGGTGGCGGGGAGGGGAAGCCAAGGGCTGCGATTCTGTGTGCTTTTGGTCCCTGTAATGCTGCTGTGAGATCCAGGGAGGGCACAGGTTTTATTTTGCCATCTTTTTCTTCTCAGGCTGGTTCTGCTGCTGCTGTGCTTGTGTGGTCCTCACGCTTACTGTGTTCTTTTCCTTTTCTAGTCTTGTAGGCATCACAGAGATGACGTAAGTCAGGACCCAGATTTTAAGAGTTTGACTCACAGTCTTGTCCTCATAGACCATGACTCTCCATTCACTGGTGGGGCCTTGGTATGGTGCATAGTAGGTGCTCAGTAAATATCTGCTACCGAATGACGACCAGGGACTCCTCGACTGGGTCTGATCCGGTCACCCCAGTGCTCTGGCTACTGCATTCCCTGCTCCTACCTGCTCTCTTTCTCTAGCTTGGCCTCTCCCATGTGATGGCTGGATATGAGGTCACAGAAGTGACCGAGAGCTACCAGGTGACACCACAGCCACTGTGATGGGCCTGGGTCTGACACAAGCAAAAGCCACAGAAGCTGTGAGATCATTTCAAGGGGGCACTTCTGTAATCCATGTCTTCTCGCCAGCGTGTGTGTGTGAAACGCCATCCAATTCTCCTAGGACATTAGAGGACACAGGGGTACCATGGGGGGACCTGAGTGTCCAGCAGGGCCACCGCCCCTAGGTGGGGAAGGCTGGCTCATCTCTGCCATGCCTGGCCTCAGTCTCACTGCCTGGAAGATGACTTCATCCATGCCTCGGGCTGTCCGTGGGGGTGCAGGCAGAGGAGGGGCGCTGGCACCTGTGAACCCAGCCCGGATGGAGCAGTCACCCCGAGAGGGTCAGCAGGGGTGCACTGCCGGGGACTCTCCACGGCCGCACCTCCCGCTCCCGCCTCCATCTCGTCTCTCCCCTCTCACATCTGCAAAAACCACACATAGGCAGAAATCAGTCCATCAAATGTCATTACAGATTTATTAAGCCTGATGTAGAAAGACATTTAACATCTCCAGAAAGCATAAAAAGAGCACTTCTATTCAGTCTTGTGCTTTGAAAATCTAAATATATTTTTATCGTATAAATAATTCTTTTCATGTGTTAAGTGCATCTGTGTTTTTTTCTTCTCTCCTTTAATTTTCATTTTGTATTTTTATTTTTTCAGTTGGCCAAAGCGGAAGTCGGCCTTGACTACGATGAAGCATTTGCAAAGCTAATGGTGTCGGGAGGCCTGTCTCTGCTCTGCCGAATCAGCCAGGTCTCAGAAAGGTGGTTCAATATCTGCAGCATTAACACGAGGGGCAGCCTCCAGCAAAATCATAATTGAACACACCCAGGTCCTTAACGTCGGCAGCTGGCTCTCCTGATGTAAATTACGGTAAGGTTTCAGATGGGAACAGACTATTTCCAATAACTGCTCAGTGGAAATAAAGAGAGAGACAGAGAGAGAGAGAGAGAGAGAGAGAGAGAGAGAGAGAGAGAGAGAGAGATTTTCACCATAAAGGAAAGTTACCCGGTTTAAAAATGTAAATAATATAGAAGCCTTTCTGATGGAAATGGGGGGCTCCGTACAACCTCGGCGAGCGCGTTGCTGGTTTGCACAACAGCTCAAAGAAGTCGGTCTATTATTTAGGGCTTTAATTACAGTTCTCAAAGTAGAATGATTTTCTTTTTTAAAAAAACTCTTCAGATGTAAAAAATAATGGCTTTTGTGATATAATTTAAGGGTTTTCTTCAGCTCCATCATCGGAATTTATCTCTAGCGATAAAATCGAATTAAAAACCCTCCTATTGTCAGATAATGTCGACGCGTGAGCATCACACGCATGCGCACATCGCAGCTGCGCCCGCAGTGTCCTGTGCAGCAGACGCTGAGCTAAAATGCTGCTTTTGGCCTGATTTAGGTTACGTGGGGTGTTAGGACCAGATCGTTTGTGATTAGGAGGGATGACAGGCTGGTGGCATCCAGGGACAAAAGCAGGATCACCTGTTCTGAAAAATCCCTTCCTTCTCTGCAAGCCAGAGGGACGTTTCCGGCTGCATTGTCTGTCTGTGGGCAGAGATGACCAGGCAAGAAGCCTTTGGAAATCTGCAAATAGTTCCTGGAGCCCTGAGGACAGTGGCAGGGAGGTGGCCAGGGGATGCGACTGTGGCCAGCCCAGGGAGGAATTTTCTAGATCCGGAGCAGTGGGCACTGATGCCTATCTGTTATGAATCTGTTTGGCCACAGGGTGGTATAATCTTCCTAGCAGAAAAGTTTTTTTTTTTTTCTTTTTTTCCTTTTTCATTGCAAGGACAATTTATAATCATCAAAAACAAGTGAAACATGGTTTTGATTAAAGCAGCCTGTTGGCTCAATAATCTCTGTAATTTTAAAAACATCCTTAATGCAGAGGAACATCGATGTCAGGAATGGCCTGGGGCCCCATTACAGCAGCAACCGAATAAATAAGAAGAATCGTGAGGTCATAAAAACAAAATTAAGCTAATGTTTCAAATTTTGACAATTATGAATTCTTCCTCTAAGAAGACATTAAAAAATTTTTCAGGCACTATTAGATAAAATACAAAGAGAATAATTCTACATGGATAAGTTTGCAGTTTTCCCACGGGTGAAGCATGCCTTGAAAGGAAAATTCTGAATTAGGACGTCGGTTCCTCCCTAGGTCAGCGGTCGGTCGGGACTCATGCAGACAGACAGACGTGGTTCTTAGAATTTCTTTGTAAACTCAGATCTAATTCTTTCATAAGCTATCGAAAGAGAATGATCAGAAAAAAATTACAAGCATATTTTTTTCTTCCTTCTATACAAAAGAATCCCCATTGTGGGCCAGTTTGGTAGGAAACAGAAACAAAGCAAATATAACAAAATCTGTGTTCGTACATGGCGATATAGTTAGTATATACAAATATGTACAGTATAAAAATGCACGGGCGGCCTAGGTTCCAGCCATCCAAGCTGCGGTATCCACAAAGAAAACAGCCTGGGTTCTTTCCTAGTATACAGGCGAATGTCTTATATACAGCATGCAGGCGATAGAAAATTGTTGCCCTTGCTTGCGAACACTCTACAGGTAGGTCGCAGCCTCTGAAGGCGGCTGGTCTGCTTTCCTAAGACAAAAATACATTTGCCTTTCTTCACTAGCAAAGGAGCACTTTCCTTCACGGCGAGGATGAATGTGATTCTTGAAACTCTTGACCTGTTTCTACCACTGCCCTTTAGAAAAGAAACAGACTCAGAAACCCAGAATTAATGCAAGGGGACACAGACATAATGTAAATATGTGGGTGCAGGGTTTCCTAAAAAGTTACAGGAGCTCTGCAGAGCAGGAACTGGTTTTCCCGTAAGGACTGTATCTGATGGGCTGGCTTCCGGATTTTAGAGGGGCTTGGAAGCAGACAGTGCCTGGCTATTTGCAATCAAGCGGAAAGGGATTAGAAGGCTATCCTCAGAGACTATAAGGACATTTGAGAACACTGGGCCAAAGGAGATTTTATTGTTTGCGTTGGTGTTTTTGAATTGTATCCCATATCTTTAGCATGTCAAGGCAGCTGTGTGTCTGCAGTGTTTATCAGAGTGCAGGATGGGTGCAGTCTGTCCTGTTCAGATGTGTTAAATTTTGAGCACTTTAAAAACGTACACACACATTCATAATTCCTGACCGTTATGGGAGTCATGTTGGAGGTGAATGCGTCACTGCCCTGGTTGTCACGTTTGAACTCTAAGTGTGTGATTGCTCAGTCTGTAAATATTAGCTATTGCCTGGGGGATGATATCCAAATACAGGTTTCAGGTTCAAGATAATTCAGTGGACACACAGAAATTTATTTTCTGAAGGGATTGGACAGAGTGCTTAGCTTTTTTTTTAAGCAATACACTTCTTCAACTGTACCAACATCTCCCATCTGGGGATCCTACCAAAGCGTCACCACTTGTACTTCCAAAAGCTGTTTTAAGCAAATAAACATGACACAACAGGCTGCATTTGATCTTTCTCAGGCAAACCGCATTGTCCAAGGCCCCAATGACAATCCTTTGGCTATCGATAATATCATTTGTTGGCCGCAGTGTACCAGGAGCAGGGTATCAATTCTCCGGGAGTCGTTTTACTCGGGATCTATTTTTCCAAAGGAAACGGACAGCGTCCTGTTGTTGACACAGCGCTGCATCTGGTACTAGCATTTTAAAACAGTCCTATTCTAATCCATAAAACATTTCTAGTTTCCCCTGAAGCTTTGGGCTGCCTTGCGCATGAATAATTTTTGGAGAAACACCCCCCACGGCCGTTCGCCCATTGTTCCTAACTATGGGAAGATTAACTAGGCCTGGAAACTGCAGCAGGGCCGCCGCCTCTGAATCTGTCACCGGAAACCAAAGGGGATGAGTGGCTTTTCCTTTGGATGAAGAGGTAAAATTCCACGGCAGAAATTCTAAAGATGATTCACAAGTTTCAAAACGTGGAACGCTTCCGGCAATGGAAACCCCTCTCTCTGTCTGGGTGGGGTGTGTGTGTGGAAATTTGTGTTTCTCTTTCCAGTTCCATCTTTGCCTAAAAGTGTTTCATAGATATTTTGAGAAAGTGCCACATCGAGGAAGGCAGAAGATGAAATTAGCATTTTAATATCTCACAGAGGGGACAAAATCAACTGAAAGTTCACTTTTGATTTTTTTTTCTGCCTAATGCATCTTCAAAATAAATGTTACTTTTATTATTATTATTATCATCTTTTATCAGTACCGGGGATCGAACCGCGACCGCCTGCTTGCAAGGCAGGTGCTTATGCCGCTGAGCTAAATCCCCAGCCCCACTTTTATTATTCTTCAGCAGCACATAAGGGTGGCCTTCGGTGTATTCCCTTATTGTTATTTTAGCATCCATCCAAGCACCACTATTCTGGTTGCGGAGAATAAAGAGGGCTGATGTGAAGTGACAGTCTCCATGTCTTTTTAAAAACAAAAACGTTTAGTAAGTTAAGGGACGGAAGCACCGGAGAAAAGGGCTGAGCACAGTCAGATGATCTGGAAAGTGACAAATGGAAAAGCAACATTTCGAGTCCCTGGGGAGACCTGTAATCTTTGGATTTACCGTGAGAAATTTTAGAAAATCAAAGCCTCCTACCACTGCATTCCCCGTAGGCCTCGGAGAACAGCGGTAGAATTCCCGTGTGTGTGTGTGTGTGTGTGTGTGTGTGTGTGTGTGTGTGTGTGAGTGTGACCTGCACTCCTTGTCACTACATAGCCAGAGTTGCACAAATGCTTCCCAAACATATCTCACTGCATTTGTTTTCTGCATTTTAACTAAGCTCAGAGGCTTTTGCTTATAAAATCTCGCCTCTTAACTATGCAAGCATCGTATACTAAGCAGGCATATTTTGGGGGTGTTTAAAAAAAATCTATTTGTGGCGTGAAAGAAATTCAATGGGGACTGTCTGGGCTATCCCAATTTATTCCATGATTATATTCTGTTTTTAGGCCTTGACCTATTTTTTAAGCTATTTCCTCTCTGGTTGCTTTTCAAGGGAAAACCCTTTATTCTGGAATTCTTGGATTTTGACCCCCATGTCAACTCTGGGCCCAGTTGTCTGGGTATCGCTACGTGGGGGAGCGGCTATCCACAGGAGGAGGGCCAGGAGGTCATGCGGGTGGGTGTCACCGGGCCATTTCCTTGTACCTAGAACAGCGCCACACATGCTGAGGAGGGTGCCCAAGACCTCCTGAGTGAATCGGTGGAATAAACTGTGTCTCTCGTGCCTTTTGCTTTCAGTGTTTTTAACATGCTGTATATTTGGTAGGTTTGCTGTACTAAAGAATGCGGCCAACTACATAAAATTTAAATATTTGTAGCTAATTTTTGTAATGGCCATTTCAATTTAGTTGGCCGGTAGCCTTGGTGGGCAGCGGGGAAAGTGAAGCAAAGGCCATCTGCAAAGTCTGCAGTGGCCCTAACCACCGAGGATGTGGGCGTGGTGGAAACACTTGAGGGTGATTTGCATGTTATTTGCATGGCATTTTCCTTCCCCTTCCTCGAGTTCCAACTTTTCCTAACTACTACTGTTATTCAGAAAAAGGAAGGAAGTGGTATGAAAGAGGATTCAAACTGTTCTCCCGAGAGCATGCTGTTTAGCTTCTCTTTCCAGGAAGACGTTTCTAGAAGCCCCGCAGGTTTTGCCAAATGAAGACAGGCCTGGTCTCTAGAAATACACCGAGAGCTGTTTGCATCTCGCGGCGCCAGCCCAGATCTTGCTTTCTAAGGAGAACATTAGCAGCTGTCCCTCAGCGGTGACGAGCACAGTTGCCAAGTGAGGATGCAGGAGTCTTACCAAATTTATCAATATTTTTGTCTCTCGCCTCCCACCCTACCCCATCAGCGAAATCGCACTAGCAAAATCGTATAGATTATTCGTGGAAGCAGATGATTCATTATTTTTTCTTTTCTTAGAAGGGAAATAATTTCCAAGGAGCTTAGAATTACTCGGTTTCCCCCTAGCTGAAGCACGAGCTCGAATTTGCTTTTGGATGCTTGCGGCAGGATCTGAATGATGCCACTTTATCTGATCACCCTGGGTGGGAGCAGGCAATTTTCAACAACTTGGGGAACCTCAATTCTACTACGCTGATGTTCCCCTAATAGAATTTTGCTGTCGAAGGATGGCGCTCGGCACCGTCCACCTCTGAGTCGCACCCCAGCCACACACCGTCCCTTTCCAGTTGAGTTCCATTCATTTCTGGTTGAATAGGTTACGCAAAGACAGAGCTCACTGTTCTCAATTCACTTTATGATCCTCCCATCATAAAAAATAATATCAGCACCTTGCTTTTCATGTCAGAGCTACATTTGAGCCGCTCTTCCCTGTGCCCATGAGTATATCCCATAAAAGCTGCCCCGCTGTACTGTTGCTATTTTTCCTTGTGGGTGATTGATTGATGGATGACACTTCAATGAAGCTATTCCGACTGCCATCTCAATCCGATGATGTGAGGGGTATATTTTCTGTCCATGCCTCATTACTTCAGAATGACATTCCTGGAACTTCATTTACTTTTTTCCTCCTTCCCTGAAGCGCCATATTTTTTCCCATCTAGGTTATGCATGCCATAAAAAAAGCAATTTGCCATTATATGTGGCATAAGGGCAACACTTTCCCTAGGAGGTAAATAAGAAGTTTTTTTTTTTTTTTTTTTTTTTTTAAATCCCAATGTTGAATTTAGGGATCATGTTAAAATTTCCAAAATAATTCCAACAGGCAGTTTTTAGGAGAAATAGTGAAGAGGTTATATTTGGTTTCATTTTGTCAGTGTTGAGTATTTTTTTTTGATAACTAGTAATTAAAGCAATGACACACAATATTTCATGTGTTTCTGAATCACCTGGCTCCCAGGATTGCGCCTGGACTAGATGAAATATTTTACCTATAGCTGAGTAGCATTTTACAACACTATTCAGACTTATTTATCCTTTGAGAATAAGGAAATTCATTGTTTAAATGCAATGATGGATTTATCTATTTTAGGCTGTTTTCCATTGTATAGAAAATGCTCAACTAGAATAAATAGATCTACCCCTGCATTTCCAAACCATGTACTAGGTGTGCAAGACTTTTAATATTAAAGCATGCTCTTAGCTTTTCCACGTTGACTTAGGACCTGATTTTAATCTGCGTAATACAGTATTCCCGTTAATAATAACGTATAATTAAGACATCCGTTAAAAATCCATAACGTTAATTTAATGGAGAAAATCTAATACAGTTCTATTGGAATTTTTACGTTAAATTAACTTTAACGGGCTTTTAATGGATGTCTTAATTAGATCTCATTATTAACGGGAATATTCCACAAATTAAAATTGGGCCCTTAAAGTTTTAATGAAAAAAGTTGCAGGAACACATTTAAATGGACACCCTATTTCATGCTTTCTGTTGGTTCTACAGTCAAACTGTGTTTCTGAGTTCATAAACAACAGGTCCTGTAGGAAGAGATTACCAGAAAAGGCTGCTGCTGAATTTTCCACCCCGAAATGATCTCATCTTCTGTCTCTCTCTCAGACTCGACATCTCACCACTTCTTCCTGTTTCCAGGTCTGGTGTGACAGTGGTGCATGCTTAAATCTACATGTTTAAACCAATCGAGATAAGATGAGGATAAAGATGCCTACCACTGTATGGGAAAATGTCTTTGGCAGCAACACAGTTAAGTCTAACTATCTGAACAACTTTCACAGAAGATGAACATTGTTCAGAGGTTTTCTTGGCTCCAACTCTGGTTTAACTTAATAATTCTTCTACTTTGCAGTGATTAATGGCTCCCTAGTGCAGGGGCAGTACTGGGCAATCCAGGTGCAACTGTAATTGTTACACTGAACAGAAACATTTCCTTTAGACAAACGTTCCCAGAGGGGTTATAAATAGGAAATGGACATTACCATGAAGAGTAAGCTTCCAAGTGTCTACATCAAGAGCAGCCCACTTGGACATTAAACTATGAAGACTCATACCCCCCTCCCTTTCCTGTTATAAACTGACAAAATAAGTACATCGACGTTCCCAGTCATTATTTTTCTTCAGTGGCACTTTGTTTTCTTGTGACAGTGAAAGGGAGACCGTGGAGACGAGGCAGCCCCATTGCAGTTTATCAGCGAGTCTAATATCGTCCATAAGCAGGGAAGTGGAGATCAATACTTCATTACCAAATTGTGAGCGAAGTTGAAGAGAAATGGCCGGGGTGACGTTTGTTTTGGGCAGTCTTCTTGGAGCAGGGCGTCAGGAGGGGGTCAGGAGTTCAATGTCAGAAGCCAGGATGCACGGAGAAGGGCTCAGCGTGAGGGATCCGGGCTGGAAAGCTGAGGCTAAGGCATTGGTCCTGCGATGGGAATCAGAACAACAGAAAAAGATGCGTTATTTCCTGGTGTGTGGCCAGGCGGCCATGCCTCCAGGCAGTCAAGCTGTCCACTGGTACCACTTCACCTAACTGAGTGGAGCCATCGCTAAACCTACTCAAGGGTTTGGTACAGAGCTTCAGTTTTACAAGATTAAAAATTTTGGAGGTGGACAAAGTTTGTTTGAACTGGGTCTCACTGTGTATGTCAGGCTGGCCTTGAACTCATTGAATTTGCAGTGATCCTTTTGCCTCAGCCTCCCAAGCGCTGGGATTACAGGGCACATACCACCACGTCCAGCATGGAGATGGACAATATTTTTGCCTGCAGAGCAATGTGAATGGATTTTTTTTTTTTTTTTTTTTTTTTGAGACAGAGTCTAGCTGTGCAGTTCAGGCTGGCCTTGAGCTCACTTTGTAGTCTAGGCTGGTCTCAAACTCGCAATGATCGTCCTGCCTCAGCCACCCTAGTGCTGGGATTACAGACAGGCGTGAGCCACCACGCCCGGCAGCCATGTGAATGTGTATACTTTACACTGAAAGATACCCTTAAAATAGTTAAGATGGCAAATTTCATTTTATGTATATTTTATCATAATGAAAAATAAAAAAAATACCCAGAGGCGGTGTACACACCTGTAATCTCAACAGTCTGGGAGGTTGAGGCAGGAGGATCACAATTTTGAGCTCAGCTTGGGGAATTTGATGACGTGAGATACTGTCACAAAATAAAAATCCGTGTGGGGACGCATGGTTGTAATCCCAGTACTTGTAACAAAAGGGGGTCACCCTGTGAGCTGGAGTTCAAGGTCAGTTTGAACCACGCAGGGAGATCCTGTTTTAAGACCAAAAACCAAAACCAAAAAAAAAAAAAAAAAAAAAAAAAAGTGGGAAGGGGATGTAGTTTAGTGTTAAGACCCGGGATTTGAGACAGGAGATCAGGGAGTGGCCAAAAAAATTATAAGATCTCAGACCCATGGTGGAACAAGTCCCAACGCTCCCCGCCCCCAGCAGTATGTACTTCTCGCGAGAACTCGAGCTGGTTTTCAATAGGACGCCTGGCCCTGACGTCACAGAGGCTGGGCTCTTAGCACCGCCCCGCAGGACCCGTATGTAGACGTCCTGGCTTTCCTGGCGATTGGGTCAGCGGGGGACACGCGGACGCCGAGAAGTTGACCGCGTGGTTTCCTGCCGGCAGCCTCCCTTGTGTCCTGCAGCGCACCCTTCGGTCTTGCTTTTTCCTCCCTTACTTTAAGGGCCCAGGCTCGCTCTGCACAGCTGGCTCTTCCCTCTCCCCTAGTACAATCTTCAAATAAACTTTGCCACTGCCTTTCTGCTCACTTCATCCGACTCTTCGCTTGAGATGAGAAGAACCTGGGCACCAGCTCCAGAGTGAGATAGGAGCCCCCAAACCCGGTAAGGGTGGCAGGTTCAATCCCCGGTATCACCACCACCACCACAAAACATACCTACACACGCAAAAGGAGTATGGTTTTTTCAATTATAAAGCATCTTGAAAAATAAAATTTAATCTTTGGCTTTCCGTCTAGACATCCTACTCGTAGCTGCTGTACCCCTTTCTAGTCCTTTTTTTCTCTTCTGTTTTTGTTAAGAATATATAGTTGTGCATGTTGGTGGCTGTGGTGTATCATACGATGACTTGGTTGTGTTTTTCAGTGGAAAACATCTAAACAATAGCGCAATCATAGTCTGCTAAACACACACGATCCTAGTCTGCTAAACCATTCTTACAAATATTTCATTTTATTCTAATTTTATTTAATAATACATAACACCGTGATGAGTATCTTCATATTTAAAACTTTTTAATACGTAGGATGTTCTCAGAGTTTTCAAATCTGGAGTTCCTGAATCAAAAGACATGAATACTTTTGTGCTATTTAAAAACTAGCGTGGCGATCCTTCCCTGCTAAAATCTTGCTGTTGAATTACTGCGTGAGTGTTGGGTTTCCATCAGCTTGATCCGAGTGGAGTTCCTTGTTTACATCTTGTTACACAGTGGTAGTGTTCATGTTAGTGAGAGAAACCACGTTGGATCTAAATATAACTAATCTTTTTGGGAAAGAAGTTTACAAATTTCTAGTAGAAAAACAAAAATCATACATTTGATGAGTGTAGAGAAATTATACACAAAGCGATCAGAATAGACATTTTAAAAAATATATGACTAATACTAGCAATCAGTATTATTATATACCTGAATTATTATATACTGAATTCTAGGTACATTATAGGTATGTGCATGACTTGTGGTTCTCTTTTTTCTTTTTCCTTAAGTATTTGGGATCAAACCAGCCTTTCATGGCTAAGTTAGGGCAAAGTTTGTTCTGCGGAGGGGGACAAGGAGGAGAAGGAAATTATATCATATATCTTTACTTCTTTTTATTTTATTCTGAGATGGGGGTCTTATTAAATTATCTAGGCTGGCTATGCAGTTGGCACCCTCCTGACTCAGCCTCCCCAGTAACTGGGATCATAAATATGTGCTACTGGGGCCAGTTTCCCTTATTTTTTTTTTTTTTCAGTTTTTTTTTTTTTTAAATTAGTATGCGTTAGCAGAACCTAGTGTTGCATTTGTGGTGTGAAGTTGGTGCATGTACATAACATACCTAGATTCTTTTAACCCGTTTCCCTCCCCTCCCTCCTGTCTCCATCCTTTATCACTTTCTCATTTAAAAAAGGTCTATTAGCTATGTTGATTTTGTTCTTTATTAATATTTTGTTTTTTTCATATAACAGAAACCGTGTGATATTTAAGCTGAGTATCTGATTTGTTTCCCTTACTATTACACATGCTTGCAAATGTTTCTACTGGAGAGATTGAGGCAGGAGGATCTCAAGAGAGCGGCCAGCCTGGCCTGGGCAGCTTAGTAACTTAGCAAGAACTGTCTCAAAATAAAAACACAGAGGGGCAGGTAGTGCCCGTCAGGAGCTGAGCACCCTGGGCACTGTCGGAGAAGGCAGGCTCAAACAGTTTGGTGACTTGTTGCAGGCCACCAGCCAGTGAGAGGCAGAGATGGCTCCTGATTCCGGCCTGCCCATGCTCAAGCCTCGAGGGGTGCAGGTGCACCGGGGTCCTGGCTCCTGATCCCCGGCTGCACCATGGAGGCCGCAGTCCTTCGGAACCTGATCTCTGCCTTGAAGCTCCAGGCCTGCCTGATGGACGCCCAGCTTCTATGGCTGGATTTGTCTTAGGGCAAACTTTGTCCTGGGGAAGGGGAGATGGAGTGAAGAAAGTTCTATCACAGATCCACGATCCACAGTAGCACACTGGACTCTGAGAAGTCCTTTGGTGACACCCAACCACGCTGACCTGGGAGGGTCGCCCCTGAACATGGTGCTCATCGGATCCATCTGCTAAGTTTTCCTCTCTATAAAGCACTGGCAAATGTACTTGAACATTGCTTTCTGGAAAATAGCTTTGTGATGGATTCTTGTGCAAAAACAAAGGAGACTGTTCAGGCTCTTAAGATCTCTGTCTATGATTTTGTTACTTTCTTGTGGTTTTCTGGCTTTTGGGGCCTCAGGGTGCAAGGCTCCCGAGGTTTACTCTGTGCCGACCTTGGCTTTGCCTGGTGTCCGCTGCAAGGGACAAAGAGGTTTACATCCTCCAGCTGGCACACGGAGGATGCTGTCTGATGTTCTGGTCTCTGTGGGTACCACATCTGCTGCCTGTGATGGTTCAGATCTCAGGGTGTCGAACATCAGCACTGGTAATGATTTAGAGGCTTCTCCCAGAATCCCTGTGTGTGGTGACTCAGCTGTTAGGTTATTTCTCCTTGATTAGTTCCTCTATCCTACGACAAGTGGGGGAGGTAATGACAGATTTGGAAGGTTAGTGCTCCTGGCAAAGAGAAGGATTTCATTCGAAGCCCGTCTGGGGAAATAGACTGCTTTTTTTGTGTTGTTGTTGCTGTTGTTGTTGTTACTGGAGATGAAACCCAGGATGTGATACATGCTAAGCAAATGCTTACCACTTATCTGCATGCCCAGGGTTTTAAAACAGGGTCTGGCTAAGTTGCCCAGGCCAGCCGTGAAGTTGTGATCCTCCTGCTTTAACCCTGAGCAGCTGGGAGGTGTGGCTTGTGTCTAAATGTCTGTCCAAGCCTCACATGCTCATGGATGGGTTTTTCTGGGGGCTGCTGGATCATGGGTGTGTGATGCTGCGATCAGAGCGTGTGAAAGCTAAATGGGTCGGGCATAGTTCTGAGAGTGAATAACAGGAGCCTACCCTGGGTGTGGGTGGCACCCATCCCTACGGTTGTCGTCTGGATGACATATAAAGGAAGAGAGGAAAGGCAGGCTTGCTGCCTGCTGCCTCCTGCCTGGTCTGCCGTGGACTGTTTCTTCTCTGCAGGGCTACCCTGCCTGGAGTCAGCAGACTCTGCACTAAAACCTCTATAAACTGTGAGTCAAAATAAAGCTTTCCCCCTTTAATGTTGTGGGTCAGGTATTTTGTCTCAGCAAAGAGAAAAGTAGCTAAGACACTGGGATCTCGTTCTCTTTTTCTCTAGGTGTTAATCTGAGACCTTGGCAGAAAAACAAAACTAGAAAGCAAGAGGAGTGGAAGTAATGGAGCCACTGTTCTCCTCCCTTTCAGCCTGGATGAAGCAAAAATGAGTGGACAGTGTTGGGAGACCCCGAGTGGCGGCTGAGGCCAAGCTTTGCTGGTGAAAGTGGGTTTTCATCTAGCAAGCTGATCTACCAGTGCAGAGCAAAAACAGGAATAAATAGAAATTTTAATTATATATCTAAAAAGTCACTGGCCATGGTCATTAAGTGGAGTTTCTGAGGGAGAGTCAGGAGAAACGATGTAATAAATTTTGTGATAATTAGAGGTCCCAAGAGATGCACAGAATTATATACACTTGAGTTCGGCCGTGCCAGCCTTCTTAACCCTCTGGTGAGTCACTCTGGTCTTGCTTCCCCTTGCTCTTGCTCGCTCCTGCCTGTCCTCTTTTCTGTTTGCCCAAACTTTGGTGATCCCACACGGGTCAGGATCGCTATGGTGGGAACCACTGGCATTTAATGGCCGGGGCTGTGAATGTGAGGCACTTTGCACTGTGCCATATTGCACTCTGGCTTAGTCAGTTTTTCTTATTTATGAGACAAAACACCCAGATACACACTTAGGGCTGTGGCACTCACATTAACCCTAGTGTCCTTAATCCTAGCATTGCACCATGATTCAATCCCAGTGTCACACGTGATTCAGTTCAGCGCCACCTCTGAGAAAGCCCCGCCTATAACTGCATGAGGCTTTGGGGGACATCTAGACATAAGCCATAACATTCTACCCCTGGCCCCCCAAGGACTTATGCACATCTTTATGCAAAAGACATCATTAAGAGTTGCCAAAGTCCTAACAGTTTCAGCATTGTTGAAAAGTCCAATTCCCAAGTCTCCTCCAACATACGAGGCAAAACTTAGCTACAAGTCCGTGTACAAATGAAAAAAAAGTTCAACACTTCCAACATTCAGTGGCACTAGGTAAACATTTCTATTCCAAAGTTACAAATATGGATAGCAAGGAATAGAAACAAAGCAAGGCCGAGATCCCACAAGCAAACATTAAATCCCACAGCTCCATTTCCAGCCTCCCCAGCAATCTGTGGCAAGCTGTGAACTCCAGAGTGCAGGGGTGGCTCCACCCTATGGCACTCCCAGTGGTTGAGTCTCCCATGCCTTCTCCTTAGGCTGGCTCTGCTCCCTCCTTGCAGCTTTCCTTGGACAAACCACGTTCTGAGATTTTCCAAACTTCTAGGGTCTCCACTGCACCTTTGGCTTCACACTCACAGCTCCGCACACTACCCTCTCAGGGCACACTGCCTGGCCTCCTAAGTCTTCTTAAATCTGTGTTGAAGCCTTCTTGACCCCACAACTCTTGCATTCTGCATGCACCTAAATCCAGCACCATGTGGATGATGCCAAGGCCTGCTGCCAACTGGAGCAGTAGCCCGGCTTCCTTCTCTCTTGGGTCAAGTGCCTTCCATGAACCAAATTCCAAGGAACAAATTTTTGGTCTGCCATCATTCTGGAATATGGTGCCCTGTGGCTTTCTTCTCAAAACAAAGTGTATCACTTGTGTAACTCTGAGGCTGCAAAGGCTGGAGTCCTGCTGCTTCTTATGATGCCCTTAGCCCATCTTTTCTATTCTGCTGTTCTTTATCAGCAATAAAGATCTCAGCTTTATCTCTGAAGTCCACAGAATTACTGGACTGGAGCTTTACTAGAGCTTCCTTTTAGGTCAAACTCACAATATTTTAAATCATCCTGTTGGGCTGTTTGTTCTTGATTCTCAATGTAAGTCTGACTAAAAGTTCCCAACAGTAGCCAAGCTACTGCCTCAACATGAGGTTGCCTTGAAATTTCTTCTCCCAGATTAATTAACCTGCTGCCCTTAATCTCAGTCTCAGGCAAAGTCTCTGGACATGGGCAAAATGCAGACAAACTTTCTGCCAAGGCAGAACATGCATCATCTGGATTCCAGCAGCCAATGCAGTCCTTCTTCCCAGCAGAAACCTCCCAAGTTTGGTCTTCTCCAGCAGCATTTCTGGTCTTCCAGCTCTAATCAGACTCTCCCATCAAGTACCACTTAAGGTGTTCCAGCTCTGCTTTTTCAGCCAGCATCTCTGAACCTTTTGTAACTCTTCCCACAAGCCATTCTCTGGAGCCACCTGGTCAGGTATAGCAATGACCCTATGTAGATATAAAGTTCTGTCTTAATTACCTTTTTCGTTGCTGAGACAAAAATATCTGACATCCAAAGTTAAAGGGCAGAAAGGTTTATTTGGCTTACAGTTTGTAGAAATTTCAGTCCATAATTGGCTGGCTCCAAGACAGGGTGGTGTGGCGGAGGAGAAACCACTGGTGGTGGGCAGAAGGTAGGAAATCAAGCAACCAGGGGACCCTAACACCACCTTCCTGCCCTTGTATCTTATCTCCGCCTTCTGAGTATTGGGATTACCATCACACCTGGCTTCCGGCACCCTTCTGAACCCCTGTTGGTAGGTCAGGGCTTCTTGTACTTATCGGCTCATATTTTGAGCTGTGGGAGGCTGAGGTGAGCACTGTAGGATTTTAACAGCATCCCTGTCTTCTACCCATGAGATTCCCCTAGTATCATCCCTTGTACTGTGACTTGTAACAACCTAGAATGTTTTTCAATATTGCTAAATGGGGTGAAAGAGAAGTGCCCCTGGTTCAAAACCTGTCTATAATTATTTGAGCCCAGAACCTGACTCCATCTTTCATATCAACCCAGATATTTATGTAAAGTTTTCCAGAAATAAAGCTCTCTGACCAAGAGGAGCTGCCTGTGGCCTCATTTGGGACAGCACTGGAATATCCCTGCTGTAATGGAGGAAATGGAGCCACAGTTGGCGCTGCTGTGCATGAGGCTTGGACACCTGATCTGCACACCTGCATGGACCCACGTTTGTGACTGGCAGTTCGTGGCAGCTGTACCCACAAGCCCTGTTCCTGGTCACCTCGCTGTGACTTCTATGACCATGCTATGCTTAGCATGGGCCACACATCACAGCCCTGGCATGGCCTGGCCTTGCTGGAGATGCAGAGCCGCCCCAGTGCTGCTGACCCAGAGCCTGTCCTGGGCACGCTCCAGTGCGAAGCCTTTGCCTCCCAATGCTTTCCCGTTCTTTCTTATGGTAAGGTCCTAATGTTAGATGATTTTCTTTTCGGAGGTATGCATGCAGGCTGGGCCTGTGATATATGGATTTGGTTTCCTGGAGAATGAAAGAGAAGTTATAAAACTGGCCCTGCAGTGTCAGCACTGGCCTGTGAAGGGCAGGGAGGCTTGCCGGGCACTGCGTCAGATCCACATCTTGAATGATCCTCCGTGTGCACAAATCTGTACGCCACTGTCTCCTTGGCGTCTCTGTGTGACTCTATCACAGCTGCCTCCAGGTGACTTCTTCAAACACCAGGAGCCGAGAGTCCCCATTCCTTATCCTCCCGCCCAGCCTCCCTCAGAGCAGGAGAGGGAACCTCAATATCCGCCGCACCAGCATGAGAGCCAGGTGTCCCCATTCCTGTGCGTACCCCAGCTTTACTCTCTGTGTGTCTTTGTGATCAGTTATGAAATTGGTCCTCCGTCTGCACCCCAGTGCTCCAGGTCAAGGCCATCTGTGTCTTCCCGCAGGACGCCCTTGTTGGCCTCCTGTCCGCTCTGCCCTTGCCGTGTTTCCATACGGCAGACACAGTGTGTTTATAAAAGCCTGGGTTGGATCAGAGTGGTAGCTTCTTGTTCCTTTGCTACACTGTGGAAATCAAATCCACACAAAAACACTGCTTTTCTAAAGTCTCCTGCCTGTTCTGGCCATGCCGCCTCGCTAGCTTCACCTGGGCCCCTCTTCTCCTGGCCGGTGTGGCTCTGGACCCCTGGCCACCTCGAGCTCCTGCAGCAGCCCTAGGTGCGTCCTGCAGGGGCTTCCCTCCTGCCTGGAACGTGCTTCTCTCTCTTCTTGTCCTTGAGGTCTTTGCTTCCGGTCACTTCTGGTGAGAAGTCCACTGGCTGTGTACAAATTCTTTTGTTAAAGTATATCTCAGCTTTTCATGCTGTTCTTACGGGACTTAGCTACACTGTAAGTAGTACCTTGTCAGACTCTATGTGATCAAAAAATAGGACCAGTGTTCAAATTAAAACTATTTACTGTACTAACAGACGCATTCCCTCGAAACATGCCCTCTTGCTGCAAACACACAAATCCTGTGTTCTTGCCACTTTCTGAAGCAGTTCAGGAGTCCTCTTTCGTGAGGGTTTTTAGTTGTGTCATTGTGGGTATCTTGGCATCCTGAACTGATGAAAGCATTCCCCTTGTACGGTCATTTTGACTTTGGGGAAGGGCCAGCAGTGCCACAGTTGGTCTGGGGACGCATCACGATGTCTTCGTGAGCTCGCCTTTCTGCTGAACGGGAATGACCAGCAGCATCCACCGTACCTTTGACTGGTCCTGGTAAAGACGCTCACAAAAGAGGACTTCAGAACTGCTTCAGGAGGTGGCAGAATGGTGGGATGAGTGTGTTTTGAGGGTAAATTATTGTCAATGTATCTCTCACTGTAATCAAAACAGTTTTAACCGTCGCTGTGTGTTTTCATCACCTCTCACAGGTATAATTTTCTATTTAGCACCTGCCCTCTACACTGGCATGTGACCCCCAGGAAAGCAGAAGCTACATGCATTTTGACCGTAGCACAAGACCCAAGATGCATCACCTAGCAGGTACTTGGTAAATATTGGTTGAGCCAAGGAGGCCTTAAAGATAATCATTGGAAGTCTGTCTCTTCCTACAAGGAGAGAAAAATTTAAAGTGTTTATTTCTAAAAAACCCCACACACAATACTATAAGCAGAAACTCTACTTCTGTAATTTTATCAAAGATACAACTTAGGGCACTCAGAGGGAAGAGACTAGAAAAATTTGTCACCGCTGGTCACCCACAGACACCAAGAAGCTTTGCCATCTGCTTGGTACTTTGACCTCTTAAGAATGACTTAGCTGCCATCGTAAAGCGATTTATGCTTTTTCAGAGCACATGCATGCAGAATATATCAGATAAATATTAGTACCCTAAAGATAAAGAGGGTATTTCAGTGACTTGTTCCCAAGGAGATGAAGCCATGAGATGAGGATGCCTGATTCCTATAGCTATCTGGTTGAAAATGAAAAAAAAACAAGTGAAATGTAAATGGTGGAACTATAGAGGATATTATCATTAAAAGAGACTGTGACAAGCAGTACCGTAGAAATGGAGACCTGGGATTTTTTTTTTTTTAATGTAATCCTGGGAGAAACCTGCAGTTAATATTTTTCAAATTGATTTACAATTTGAAAATTCAAACTGTCTTACTTACGTTGCTAGATTTCATCATTAGCGCTTCATTTAATTTCTCCTAAGAGAAATCTCTGTGTGAAGAACTTTGCTGGACAAATTTCAATTCTTAAAGAGTAGATAAAATAATTGCTTAAGTGCACTGATGCCTTTGACGTGCCAGGCACAGCTCAGGCGGGGAGGTGGATAATATTGTAAAGTGTTATCTGATGCCTTTGCTTAATTCCTTTCTTCCAGGTGGCTTTTTTCCCCTACTGCTGAAAGCAGAGATGAGCTACTCTTGGAAAGGGAAGGAAGGGAGGGCACAGCATAAATCAGAAAGAACAAAGTAGCTGAGTTCCTGAATGGCAAGAGAAACTTTTTTTTCTCTATAAAACATCAAAAAGTTTGGAGTCAATATAAAAATTTTAAGAGTCGTATATGTATAAGTATCTGGTTGTGACTGTTAATTTTAGATTCACCGTACGTACCCTGTCTCCAGTCATCATTAAGATGATCCAGTAAGATAGCCAGGATGATGGAGGGGAATACTCGCTTAACTGCGGTGACTTACCCAAGGCGACACAAAGTAGAACTAATATCCCCATATTCAATTGGGACATACATTCCCTTGAGTTCCGAGTTTTTACTGTCAGCCGCAGAACTAATTTTATTTTTACCGGGTTGGATTGGACCCATGAGACCACACATTCTTTGTCAAGGGGCGCTTCACCAGACCCTGGAAGACTATTACTCATCTTGAAAGTCTTCTCCTGGAATACTTAATAGAGATGGCGTGCTGGTTGTAATCGACACCCTGGAAAATCTCAACTTTTGAACTTCCTCTTAGAGCTTGGCTTGTAATAAATCACCCGTGCTTCCTAAACTCCTGATAGATGCTATGAGACACAAACCAGACAACATCGGCCTGCAGCTTTGAAGTCTGGGGTGAATGTCTCCGTGGGCTTTTCTTATCAGCGCCAAAGCAAACGTCTTTGGAGCTGACCTCCACCTCGCGTCACCGATTTGGAGTGTCTCATGGAGTGGGAAGATTGGAAATATGTTTCCAAATAAGCTAATTTGCGCCTACTTGATGGGCAACTCCTGACATGGCTCGAGACCTTTGGCCACCAAGGAAACCTGCAGAAGCTGGGTGACCTGGTGGAGACCAACAACAGAGACGGTGTATGAGGTCGCTGTGACTCGGTGTCATTTGGGTCCTCACTGTGCTTAAGATTTCAACGCAGCGGGAATCCTTTCCTTTGGAGCAGGCCACCGAGGGGGTTTAGAGACACAAGTGAAAGGGGGCCAGAGCCTCTGCCCTGTGAGCATCTCTTGGTGACTCCCGATGGCTGCCGAAAGGTTATCCCCAATTATAATCAAAATACCTCAATCCAAACAAAGGTAAGGAAGACTGTTCCCTGCCATCGCCCCCTCCGCAGCCCCGCGAGCTTGTTACCCTGAAAGCTCAGTGTGCTTTGGCAAAGCTTGGATTGAATAATTATGAAAAAGAGATGGAGCCCAGTGTTAAGTAAAGCACTCTTTTTTTGCAGGAAGAAATGGTTTTATTTATTTATTGTTTGACAGAAAGGAATAGGGTTTTTTTCCCCTTTAGTTTTAAATATTTGGTTCTGTCATGCCTGCCCCTCACTGTCTATGGCATTCCACGTGTCACAGAGGCTGTACGAGAAATTTCCATCAGACAGCAAGGATGTGGGACAGGTTGAAGCCCTGGCACGGGTTTTCCTTAGGGAAGGTGTCAGGCTCAGAGTGGTCACCTTAGAAAGCTCCAAACCCCTATGGGGATTTAGCTCAGCAGCATAAGCACCTGCCTTGCAAGCAGGCGGTTGTGAGTTCGATCCCTGGTACCGATAAAAATGAAAAAGACAAAAAAAAAAAAAAAAAAAGCTCCAAGCCGCGGGCCTGACCAGAGTAAGTGCGTGGCTCCGGGGGCTGCCGACTTCACATATTATTCACTTGCCATGTGACCCTGGTGGGGGGACCCTATCTTTTCTGACCCCAAATTCCACAATGGTCATATCAAGATGTAACAGTGCCTTTCACAAACCCTGCCTGGTATACAGTAGGTGCTCAATAAAATGCAGGTTTATTTAATTACTTTTATTTCTTTAATAATTTTACTGCATTGGCACAGGGTTCAGAAGTCCTGTAGCACGAGATGTAGAATAAAGTTTAAAATACATGCAAAAATAATTCTGCTTACGTTAGGAATAGATAGACATCAGGTCTCCATTAGTCTTTTTTCTGGAAATTTAAAGGACTAAGTAGGAGAGAGGCTCTTTAGTCTCCGCATGAAACAAATGTTGAAAAGAAATCAGTTGTCAATTCAAATGTGAACCTAAGAAATTTTTTTTGTTGTTTATTATAAGAAGGATAAAATAGCATTTCAAAACATTTGATGCGGATATTAAAAGAGGAAAGCAAAGGCAATCATAATGCCTACCACTGTGTTAAGTGCCCATTCTGAGCTCTGAACTTTACAATTTTGCCTGGAGGTAGGTACTGGTGCCCCGATTTATTGATGAGAAAACAGAGGCACAGATTGACTAAGCAATTTAATGGAGATCAGAAGGTCGCAAATAGGGCAGTCAGCTGTGGGCTCGGGCCTTTCTGACTTCAGAGTCAGTTTTTATTGTGGTCAGTGGAGCTAACTGGGAGCTTCCAAAGTTGTATGGCTCAGTAAAATTATATAATGAAAAATAATAAGGATTGAAAACCTGCCCAGCCACTGTCACCTTTTCAAAAGACAAATTAAAAGGGTGTCAAAGATCAGGACAACATCCTGACAATGGAAAGAGGAGATGTCCTGGTGGCTTCAGTGTTAATTTTAATTTCCTGTCGAGCACAATTATATATTAATACTCAACCAGACTCAAGAATGGTTGCTTTGGGTGCCTGGTCATAGCAGAGAGAAAACAATCAATTTCCTGATAGCCATTTTTAGTGAGCCAGATTCATATACTCCGAGGAAGCACTTAAATTGTTTGAAAGAGGTCTACATGCTGGCAAACACCACCATAAACAACGTGGACAGCTTGAAGTCCAACCGCCAGCGACGTGATTCACAGCAGAACCCCTCTTCTCTAAGTGCAGCGCGGACTGGAGGTTATTTATGGTGACTAACTCACCACAAGGAGACTCATGGTATGGACACAGCCAGGTGACGCCACCGCTGCCTACAGGGTGAGCTGTGGGCGTTTAGGAAGGGTGGCGGCGTGGTCCGCACGCGTGAAAAAGAAACAGGGCCACGCTTGGCCGGCTGTGAGCGAAGGGGGTGGCTGTGTTGGAGCACAAGCTGAGAGAGTTTGGTCAAAGATTCCTGCTCTCCAAGAAGAGTCTGCCATCCCTTAATGACTGCACCCATTTGCTGGATGTCCACTCGTGGCCTGAGTTTTGGTTAATTCTTACAACAACCCCCCATAGCAGCTCTTCTGAACCCTGTTTTTCTAGAGGCCAGCAAATGTTGGGACAGAGATTCAGGTAACAGGGCCAAGATCACACGCCTGGGAAGTGGCAGAGCCAGGGACTGAGCTGGGTTCCTTTATCTCCCAAGCCATGGCTTCTTAGTGATAACCGTCTCCCTTCATGACTGTGATTGTTAGGTGTCACGACCAATCCCCCCCAGACGGGGGCAGAAGCTGAGTTATCGCTTCCTGTTTAGGAAGGAAGAGCCACAGGTTTGCCAGGTTAAATGGTCCCCTGTACCTACGTAGCTGGGTGAGATTTGTTGGGACCGAAAATCTAGCTTCATCAAGGCTACTAGTGTTTCCCAAAGCCAATCACCAGGAACCCAAAATGCTCTAAGAAGAAGATGTTTTAAAAAACACATTTATCTGTGTTTTGAACCAAACCTCTTCAGGTCCTTTTGAGCCACCCCACTGGTGTTTCCACTCCCACCGCTTCCCACAATGCTACCCGGGAAACTCCCACTCCGCCCTTACCCAGCGGCTGGCACCGTGGTCCTAGGTGTGCTGAGACTCACAGGCCTCCGCCATCTGCAGCCTGGTTCTGTCCCCCATGGTGCCACCATGGCCATCTGGTCAGTCCTCCTTTGGGCGGAACCCTCCCAAAGGTTCTGCCTTTGTTTCTCCAGGATGTGGCCTGGCCACCGGGATTTTAGTCACTCCTAAAGACAGAGCAACCTGCTTCAAGACTGACAGCGATGGCTCTTATTGTGGATTGATTGATCCTAATCATTAGTTCCTTCTTTCACAGACATGGAGGAACACATCGCTGGTGCATTCTAGAACATTCTTCTCTCTCTGGCTTTTTCCCTCTGTCCTCACCCAAGCCTGCCTTCCTATGTCCCACAGATTTCATCACAGAGCACACAAGTTAAACACCAAACCAAGCAGTGTTTATCAAGGCAGCAAAGCTTACTCACAAGCTCCTGTCAGATGGGCTTGTTGTTCACGACCTGCAGGGTTCTGTTTACTTGTTTGGGCTTCAGTAATAGCAGTGGTCATTATTAGTTTGGAGGACTTGCCTTTCACCTGGCTGTGGGCCGGGCTTTCCCGGGCAGAGTGGCACCCAGAGTGAAACCTTGCGCGGAACGGTGAGCAGGGCCACGTCTGGGAGTGCGACGTGTTGGGGTCCCCACGTCTCCAAGAGGTGGCACCTGGATTTGAGCCCTCTTCTGCTTGTGGCTCTTGCACCCCTGGGCTACGCTGCCTCCAACAGGTGCCTTCAGGCCTACGCTCTGGGTTTGATCTGTTTGCCAAGCAAGCACCAAGCCACCCTTTCTTTCTTGAAGTAATTCAAGACTTGCTTCCACCCCCAAATCAGCTGTCGAGCGGCGATGATATGTATTTTAAACACCTCACATAAGATCATCTAGAAATCTTTCCGTCTTTCCAAGAAAGCTATAAATGAAGCACATGACAGAAATCCATGTTTCCATGCAGGGCTCTCAGAGCCACAAGCTGCTCTTCCTGAGGTGGAGGCAGGACAGGGCCGTGGCCCTGAGAGGCATCCATGATGGCAAATCAGTTGACGGACAGGCCTTTGTTGACAAGGTGGATGCCAGTGTTGCAGGCCGAGTTGTGTTACACCTACTTGGCGACAGCCCTTAGAGATGTGGTCAGGTTAAAGTGAGGCTGGGGCGAGGCTTACCCCTGCCTGATGGTGCCTTAGTATGAAGAGAAAGTTCAGACGCCTGGGGAGACACCAGGGGTGCACGTGCCCCGGCAAATGCAGTGGCCGAGGTGGCAGGGGCGCAGCCGAGGGAGGCCAAGCTGCGAGCTCTGCTGGTGCAGTGATCACGGCCTCCGGCCCCAGCACTGCGAGGAAATCCGCGTCTCCTGTTTTACTGCGCCAGTCTGTGGGTCTGGTATAGCAGCCGGTGCTGACTAACACGGGAGGGAAGAGGGGACAGAGGCCCACACCGGACCTGTGCCCAGGGCCCTCCCCATTCTGGAAAGCAGAGTCCAGTCTCTCAGCACTCCTGCCTGACCCTCGAGGGCAGAAGGCAGATATACCTGAAAACAAAGGAACCGGGCCCTACCCCAGGCTTGAAGCAGCTCGGTGGCTGATGCGGACCATGGCTCTTTTCGGGATTTAATTTTGGACAAGGTGTTTGGGAAGGAACTCCCCTGGACGGTGCTTTGGAGTCCAAAGACTCCTTTGTTCTTTAACTGACATCTGAGGGGAGCACAGCTCCTCAGACGCCTTGGAGTGCCTACAGAGGGGTGTCTCAGATATTTGTTTTAGACCAGAAGAAGGACCTCGAAAGACTCTCTCAGAGGGCAGGTGTGGAAACTTCCAGAAGAAACGAGCCTGAGAATATCTTTTAGGGGACTTCCTCTCCTCATTTCAAGAATAACTAGAATGTTTTCCTTTCTTTTTCTACGCTGGGCTCTGTATAAGACTTATTGAAAACTATTCAACTGCTATTAAAATCTTTATTCTAAATATATATACCAATGACAAGAGTAATAATGATACCAGAGGCCTGATGAAGCCCGGGAAGGTGGCAAAATCGTGGCTAGCCATTTTGTTTGGCTCCTGGCAGCAAACATGTAACCAATTCTTCCAACAAAATTAGCAAGACCCCGCTGCCTTCCGGCTCCTGGGTACTGTTGATACATCAGGGAAGGAGACGGAGAGGGCTCAGGGTGCCATGCTAGGATGGAAGGCTTCTGCAGACATGTTAGCGGGCCCTTGCTGCAGCCTCCCGAGCCCTGGGGTTCCAGGTGGGAGTCACCACACCCAGCAGCAGTTCCGAATCGTGCTCTTCCCGGGCAGCTTGGTGAACCCTGAGATTCTGAGTTTCGGTTGTCACTAGAGTTACGGCAGAGGGAGGAGATGGCCGTCTAAGCAAATTTTTGCATGTTTTCATATGCATGTTTAAGAGTTGGTCTTTTGGGAGAGAAGAGCTATGAGGCTCAAAAGTTCCTGATGCAAGTGATAGTTCAAGACCTCCATTCCAGAAAGAGAGATTCCAGGACCTTTTAGGCCAGGGCCTCCTTCTGATGTAGACTATAGTTCTGTGGAATTTTCCCACATGTCCAGCATGGTCACTGTGCAGAGAATTTCGTTTCTCTGGGCACCCCAACTCCATTCTGGTCTACTTTCACTGAAATTCAAAGCCTAAAGTCTTTACACAAGCAAGAAACTTCATCCGAAGGACTAAATGAGCGGCCACAAACTGTTTGCATGAAGGATTCCCTCAATGCATGCTTTTACAGGAGGAGGCACAGCCTAAGTTAATCTTCATTATCACACGGGTGGCTTTTCCCATCCTGATTTTAAATTAAGATACTTTGGACGTTTTGCTTTCCTTTTTCACTCCACACACACGATCCCACAATGAGGCATTTTAATTAGACCTCGTCTATTATTAGAGCTCAGGGGGAAAAAAATTCACGACCGATCTGAAAGACCCCGAGCTAGGGAAGAGAAAGGTAATCATTTAATTTGTTGTTGTTTCCATAAATCAGGGCCCAGTCATCAATTTCGCCACATATTTGAGAGCACATGTTATTGACAATGTGTTCCTAGAGAAAAATGGAGTTTGCTGGCAAAGTTGTTCCATTTTCTAAAGATTAAATTGTTCATTGTGCAGGCTGCCATCTGCCCTCCCTGGAAGAGATTTAGCTGTTGGCAGAGGCGTCCAAAGTCTAGGAGAGAAAGTTAGATTTCTTTCTCTTTATTACCTCTAACCAAAGGCACATTCATTCATTCACCCATTCATTCAGTTTTTATCAAGCATCTCTTC